AAAAGGCAAAAAGAAACGGATTAAGTGCTGAGTTAAGGTAACCAAACATCAACACCACTGAGTGAACTTCGTAAGGAAACGGTTCCCAGTTTTCTCCGTCAATAGCACTGGCAATGGCAAAATAAAAGTGAGGTTGCCAGCAGAAGAACAGCGCCAAAACGAACTTTGAAGTCGTCTTAGCCGCTTTGACTTTTCTCAAATACACCTTTTTTTCATCCTTGGAGGGCTGCCGCATCGAAGGAAAGGTGCCTCGTTTGGTGGATCGATTGTTCTTGACAGCAATGCGATATATGAGGACGTAAAAAAAGCATGTGATCATTAGCGGAAGAATAACATTAAGAAAGGACGAAACAAGGATATAGTTCTTTGTGTATGGCAGCATGCAGATGCCATCATCATCTGCTTCTCCTTCCTCTCGCCAACCCATGAGGACAAAAAACGGCCATAGTGGGCAATACAGCCAGATGATCGCTACGACAATTCGAGCTCTGCTTTGGGTCATAAACTGTGAATTCTTAAACCGCGACAAAGGATCACTGAGGGTTTTATATCGATCCACACTGATAGTCAATAGGCTGAAAATCGAGATGGGTATAGTAATCATGTACACCACCTGCCAAACTATGCAGAATGCTCTTCCATGATTCCATGCACCATCAAGGAAAAGTGATTCTATATCAAACGGTACCACGATCGTTGCTGCGAGAAAATCTGAAAGAGCCAAGGAAAAAATAAAAAGATTCGTGGGATTGCGGCGGAGATGCCGGTTAGCAAGTATTGCGAAACAGACCAAGAAGTTTCCAAAGACCGCCACCACTGTGATAACTATGTAACAGGCTGCAACAGGATACGAAAACTCTGGTCTGAAACCAAAGAAAACGTCTTCGTCGGTGAACGGATCTGCAGCGGAACTGTTGTTCATTTTTAAGAGGCTGTTCTGGAACGTAAATATGTCGCGGCTCTAGGTTGTAAAGAATTGAACTCAAACTTTTCCCGTAGCTTACTGGAGTTTTCCACCTTTGTA